ATTTTTTTGTTAAATTTTTTGCGAGCACTTGAATTTTTTACTTCCGAATGAAGCTTTGTAATCGGTCGATTTTTTGATTCTTTAATTTTGCTTGGAAATGACTTGAAATGTCAAGAAACGTCGAGATATGATGTTTTCAGAGAATGTCTGTGTGTACGTCCGTATATGCGTACAAAATTCTGGCAATTTTTTAAATAAACTTTCACAGAAAAAAAACCTCCTAAAGTGATAGATAAAAATCTAAAATTTTGGCTCATAATTGGTATTGCTTGGCAGCATATCTAGGCGAAATTTCAGCTCAATCGGTCCAGTAGTTTTTAAGTTACAGCGATTCCAAAAAATATCACATGCTTTTTAGACCTCGTCCGTACGTGTGTACATACTGTCGGACTGACGAGTCAGTTCCCTTCGTTTTCAGAGGCGGGAGATGTGGATGTGCGTGGGGATTAGCCAAAGTGGGGGTAGCTACGAAGGGAACGGACTCGTCAGTTGGCCTATATGTAACAAAGTTTTTCTTCAATTGTTCGATAATAAATGGATGGAATTGAATTTTTATTTTGAAATGTAGGTATTGTTGAGCCCTATCAACTGCCATTAATTAAAATTTAATTCGTCGATTATTTTTTTTAATTTTCGAATTTTTTCGAAAATCGGTTGTCTCATCCCGGGTAGAAATTCAACCGGGGATTCAGCCGCAACTCGGGTGAGCGCGAGCTCAGCCTCGACTTGCCGCTTGACCCGAGTTCACGCCGCGACACGCCGCTCCATACCGGCTCACAAACGCTCATCAGACGGCATAACCCGGTACTTGAGTTTGAGCTGTGGCTCAACGCTTAGAACTCAGCTCCGATTGAGTCGTGTCATTTCGAGTGGAGGGTGAAATAGAATGATATTATGCATTTTTAGAATATCGATTTAAAATTTGAATGCTTTGGAAAATCCTTGTCTTCTTACTATAAAAAAAAAATGGAATTCCACTGAACTTTCTATAAAATTTGAAATTTACTGATTTTTCCCTCTGTCATCGAATATACTGTGACTCGCTTCAAAATAACAACCCATAAAATTTGGCTTTCTTCCTCACAGTGCGGAGATATATGGAAATGATATAGGGAAATGATATGAGATAGGGAAATAGAGTTGAATTTTTTCGATTTTTTTTTATTGTTCCAATTAATAAAGAATAATTCTCAATCATTACTACTTTAGATCGTTTATTTTATTTTATTGAATGAAGAACAACGTTAACGTTTTTCAAGTGATTATTTTTCTTGATTTTGTTTGTTGTATTCGCGAGAAAAAAGAAAGTTTTGACTACGTTTCAGTGAATTGTTCTACCTTGTATTTTCAGATTAATCCCATTCGATTAGTTAATATCACGTTATTTCTGATGAGCTTGTGATTGTTCATCTGAAAAAGCATGCCAACTTCACATTTATTCGATTGTTTTTTCACTCAAATCACGATGCCATCAGACCTGTCAAATCATTATTGAGGTTAAGTATACTGGGATTGAGTAATTGGAGATGAACCTGAGGTTGAGCAGTGGCCATTCAACTAAAGCCCGGCGAAGCGTTTCGCGTAATAGTCTAACGCTGGGCTGTGAGCGCGTGACGCGGCTCAACCTCGGGTACATGTGACGCGCGTGGAGTTTATCCCAAGCTGGGGCGGAGTGGCGTATTTCTAGCTGGGATACGGGTTCCGAGGCGAGCTCGAGCGGCGTGATTTCTACTCGGGATAATAACAAAACAAGTGGGAAATTGCCGAAGTATAGTATTTGGATTGTATAATTGCCGAAGTATAGTGTATTCTACACTGCACCGCATTCGCACTCCTACAGAACATAGGAGTAGCATGGGAAACCACAGAAAACCCACGCCGGTACAGGCAGTCACTATATTAGCGACCTCCCGCTCGCCGGAGCCTCCGGTTGAAAAACTCGGTTCCACGGGGAATCGAACTCACAACCTTTCGCATACTAGGCTCGCACCTAGCCGCTTCGGCCACCGACGTCGGTTCATTTCGCTTTTATATTTTCATTGAATCGTTATCTAGCTATTACAATTGGCTCCTTTCTAAGCTCTGTATTTAACAGATTTATCGCTTGCATACGCCACGTGTAGGTTACGGCTGTCGATTATTATGAATATATCAGTTTTTTTTTTCAAATTTTAGTTGCTCATAACAGGTTTGCATGAATCCTTAGAATTATTAAATGAATAGATTCACCTTAAATGAATTTTAACCTTTTTCTTTCATTCAAATAATCAACGAAAGTGTATTTTCCACAATCATGGAAAGGCAACAAACTTTCGAATACCATAAGCGATTCCTGAAATTCTTGTATAAATCAAATAAAAGAATGATACTATTTATATCATAACAAAATTTCAACAGAATATCATTGAAAAAAATGTATTAATCCATAATTGATTGAGTTTGAAACATCACGTTTGAAGAAACCTTGAAAAAGCTAATTTTCGGGGAAATTGATGAAAAATTTGAAATTTCGGAAAATTATTGTAAAAAAATTGAATCAACGGAGACAGTTATCGTAACCATCGTTCAACTTCCACTTAAGGGCATCAATACAAACATTTCAAGCCATGATACAATTCATTCGAAAAATTTGTAAATTTTCACAAAAATCACAGTAACGATTACTGCTATCGTCTTCATCTTCGAACTCGGTCGAAAGGGCACCGCAACAAATTTTTTAAGCCGTTATTTAATGAATTTAAAACATTTTTTTTAAGTTATCGTAAAAAAATCTTTTTTTGAAAAAATTCGAAAATTTAAAAAATGCGTTAATAAATTGAATTTCAATTAATAGCAGTAAATGGGGCTAGTAAGACCTACATTTGAGAAAAAAAAAGATTGAATTCCATTGTTGAACTGACGAATAATTGAAAAAAAATTTTACAAAAGTTACATACGTACACACGTACGGATGCGGTCTAAAAATTGCATTTTCAGAGTTTTTGGATCATAATGGGTTGATATAACCCAAAAAATCGAAAACTTAAAATTTGTCGATTATAACGCTTCCATTCGGAAGCAAAATGTTCCGAATTGATTGAATGATGGCTTAAAAATTGATTTGGATGTCCTGTTAACCAAGCTGGAAGATGAAGGTGGTGGCAATCGTTATTTTTATTTATTTCAAAATTTGCAAAAATGTTGTATTTCTGAAAATCCGAAGTTCGGGGATATATTTGAATATCATGCATTAAATGAATTCAATCATAGTTTAAAATATTTGTTTTAAAGACATTCAATCCAAGTTAACAGATGATTACGATAGATGATTACTATACTGGTTGATTTGATTTTTATAATGACAGTTGAAAATTTCAAATTTTTCATGAATTTCCCTGAAAATGAGCTTTCTGATGGTTTCTTCAAATGTGATATTTCAAATTCATTCAAGTGTGTTTAAATAAAATTGGTCTATCAACATTTTATCGAAGGAATCCGGAGAGAGATAGAGCTGTAAAAAATACAATCGGTTGTATAGTAGGAAGAGATAATTAAATAAAAACAATCAACTAAGGTGAAAAACTGATGAAATTAGTTGAAAAGAAATCTCATTCAATTTAATAAAATGGAATCAACAATGAATTATGCATGATAGAAAGAAATGATGTTCAAAATAACCATTCGGAAGTATATTGCCAATTTATTACCGAAAACAGCAACGATATATGAGGGCGAGAGCAATTTCCACTTTTTAAAATTATTCCAGAAATACACGAATATTTGAATGAATTTATTTTAATTACATTTTTCAACGCGATACATCCACGATAAGTTCATGCATATTGACTATATACATATTTAATCAATACATATTGAAATTGTTACTCATTATCTAGACCTTCAAAAAATTATTGAGAAAAGTTATGTTTTCGCATATGAATGAAAACAACATCTAAGCGTCTATGTTCATCATTCCACGGAACTTATGAATGGTAGAATAATTCTATTCATTTAACCTCACATGTGACTTTCATCTGACCTTCAACCAAAGAACGGAAAAATCATGCTGATTAAAATAACTCTCCAACGTATTCTCAATCATTATTCCAGCGGAGAGAAAAATATTTCGAAATGGTTCACGTTGTCAGCGGCATTCATCAATTCCAATGAAATCGGTAAATTCCTTCGAAGTGCCACATGGCGCCAAGTATTGTTGAGCGCTGTTGCAATGCGTGATGGACACCAATGTATTTTCTGGACGTAAACATGCATGATCTAGCGCAGACCAATTTTGATTGAATTCTGGTCATGCTGTACGTGAATTCTCACGTTCATCGGGTGGCGACAGGACTAATGAATCAATTAACATCACTTCTCGGGTAGGATTGTTATTCAAATTGATGGGGATTTTTTTAAAGGAAAATTCCATTTGTTAGAATTCGATTACTATCAAATGTCATCATTTTTCGGTGAATGAGGAGTCGAAAATTCAGTATGAAAATCTATGAAACACTCATTTTCCACTGAATCTTCATGAGATTGTTATAAATCGGATGGAGGTCTGATAATTTTCACAACAAATAAAATTTTTGACTATTCTCACAAGACTTACATGGTCTTTGCTTGAGAGTCTAATCCCTATGGACCCTTACCTGCAGTGCTACGCACTTTTCACTGAATCGTATCGTTGGATATGTAAATCGTTTGAGGTACGAAGGAGATTATTGAGGGGCAAATGAAATAATTTATAAACCGAAGTGAATTCCCGTTAAAACTTTAATGGCCCATGAATAAAACACTTTTGTTAAATTGAGAAATATATGATCTCGGAACATTATACTTTAAATCAAAACAAATTAAACTAGTAATTTATTTAACTAATTGACACAAATCGCAATATTGTGGAATTCGATACTGGACGATTAGCGCATATAAAATAGATTGACTCGATTCGAACGATGAAATTGAGAGAGGCCCAAGATTTGTCCCGGAAAATTTAATGTGGAAATAATTAGGCTCACCCTTATCTTAGACTTTACAAAATTGGTATAGTCGGCGAAAACGTCCTTCGATGATCTTCGGATAGACGGGAGGCGGCGAATCCTAATTAGTTGGATGGTCACTCAATTTTGCTTAATTTCACTATTTCGGAGATATTAAGTCAAATAAGTTGATAAAGTTCACTAAATTCCACTAAGAATTGGTTCACGTATTATAAAAGGCTAGCTTCGATTTCAATTAACTTGATTTTAATCTAATAATTAAGGTAGAATTTACAAATGTCCAACCAGTGACACACGCGTGTATGATATGCTCTAACTTGAGCGACTACGAAGTTGAGCCTAATTGTCGCGGATCAAAATTATTACTGCAGTTATACCGGACGCGCACTCAAGTCGGTTTACCGCACGGTTAAAGCCCAAGACTAAGGGAAACGTACACGGCGTTGTTGAGTGCGGAGGAATAATTGTGCAGGAGCCAAATTTTATGTTATTCCCTTGATGGTAAAATCGTGACTGACTATTGTCTCGAGCGCTCTTCATTTCGATGCAACCATTGGGGATGGGCGCTTCATCGTCAAATTTTGCGCTCACGTGCGAAACGGGCATAGAAATAAAATTCTGCGTGATACTTCACGTATGGAAATGCTGACATTTTAATTTCATGCGCGCGAGACTATTCGTAAGGTAAATGTGAATTAAATATGATATGGCGAGCATAGATTAGTCACCGTGCCCTTGGAGTCTCCGTTGACGCTCGGAGTCGTCACGCGCGCCGAAAGTTGCTGACGCTCGAGGTCAGCGCGCGGACGTCCGAGAGACACGGCAACTCGATACGTCTAGCGAACATTAAATAAAAGTTAATAGAAGAGATTTTAAATTTTAGAGATTTTGTATGTAACAAGATATTTTTTGCTTTCATTAATTCCGCTCAAGTGATTATGCTAGAAGACGAATTTTGCAGACGTGAAAATTTCACATCAAAATGCTGTCTCTCCATCTTCATGCGAAAAGGCTCAGTCATAGATAATTTTTTCGTTTCCACAAATTGCTCTTGTATTGCATATAGTATGCTTATTTTTGGTAATAAATTACCTATATGCTTCCGAGTGGTCATTTTGTACATAATTTCGTTCTATCAGGTATAATTCATTGTTTATTTCAGTTTATTAAATTGAATAAGCTTTCTTTTTAATTAATTTTATCAGATTTGTAATTTAGTTGAATGTTATCATCATCATTATTCTCATGATCCCTTTCTTTTATCGAACCGATTGCCTTTTTTACAGTTCTATCTCTCCCCTCAGCCCTTTGATAAAATGTTAATAGAAAAATTTTATTCATACATACTTGAATGAATTTGAAATATCACATTTGAAGAAACCATTAGAAAGCTTATTCCCAGGGAAATATATGAAAAATTCGAAATTTTCAACAATCATCATAAAAATGAATTCAACCAATATAGTCATCATCTATCGTAATCATCTGTTAACTTCGACTTAATGGCATTAAAGCAAACATTTTAATCTATGATTGAATTCATTTGAAGCATGATATTCAAAGATATCCCCGCAATTCTGATTTTCAAAATATACGAAATTTTTACAATTTTTTTAATAAATCAAAATAACAAGTATTGCTATCGCTTCCATCTTCGAACTTGGTCAAAAGGAAATCCAAACAAATTTTTCAAGCCATCATTCGATCAATTCGGAACATTTTTTGTGAGTTATCGTGGGACAACCGATTTACGAAAAAATTAGAAAATTAAAAAACAAATGGATAAATTAAATTTTAATTAATGGCGATTGATAGGGCTCAATATTACCTATATTTGAAAAAAGAAAGATTCCATTCCATACATTCATTAAAGAAGAATTGAAGAAAAACTTTGTTACATATGTGCACACGTACGGACGAGGTCTAAAATTTGCATTGTCGGACTTTTTGGATCACACTGGGTCGATGTAACACAGAAAATCCAAAACTTGAATTTGAACAATTACAAAGTTTCTATTCGGAAACAAAACTTTTTAATATCGGAAACATATTTACAGTGGAACCTCCATAACTGCACGCCTCCCGGGGTTTGGGTTCTCGGAATTTGCACCTATAAAAGGACCCTTCTTCGCCAGCGAAAAAGCGAGAATGCTGAGTTAGAAAGAGATGCGTGTAGAGACAATGGTGGGGGAAAGAGCCACTAGACCGACTGCGCGCGATCATCACGGATAATCACACACGGCCAAGTACCGGGGTAAACAGAATACTATGGCGCACAGTCCTCGCGCATTGTAGATAGAGAGCGGACGAGGTTAAAGATAGAATGCGCATAAAGGGGAATTGTAATGATGGGGGAACACTTTCCCTCGTGTGGTGGGACAGCGTGCACTTACGTAGGTGAGCAGTTACGGAGGTCCCACTGTACTAATTGTTTAAACATATCAACTAATTGTTTATGCTCCAAGTGAACTAGAATTTCAATCAAGAAACTACAATTGATGGAGGGTATGTGCTGGGGATACGCTCCTTTGATTCTGACTGCTTGGACTTACGTCCCTTTGCCGTTATTCATGCGCTAAGTGGCTTAGGGTATCAATCAAGAGATTAAAAGCAAAGTGGCGTATGTCCTGGAGATACACCCTTTCTGCTCTTATTGTTTGGAGATACACCCATTTGTCATTATCAATATTAATTGGTGAAAAACATTGGAATAAATCGATAAGCTTAATTTAACGATTAAAAGAAAACATACGCCCCTTTGGCTTTGAAGAGAAAAAAACTCGAAATGGTGGCGCTTACACCCCTTTGGCTAAACGACGATGATGTCTAATATATTCATGATGTAACGCGGAATGATAGTTGAAAATGGGATTTTATTTGAGATCCGTGAAGTGCAAATATTCTGAAAACTAAGCCATTGAAAATAAATATATTTCTCTCAAGTAAATGTGGTCTACATAATGGGAAATTTTTTTGTCAGTCCATACATTTCTACATTTCTGATTGAGTCCATTTATTTGCTTCCTGCTCTTATATTTTTTTATTACAGAAAAATTATTATCTACATCAAACAAACATAGAACTTAATGAATTCACAGAAATTTCCATATGGAATTGATTTTCAAATTCTTATCTCAAGCCAATTTGTTTGACAGAAAGAAACGCAATTGGCACAAACAATTTCGTTTCTTTATTTAACTAAAATCAATTTCACAATATTAAATGGAGATATTTCTTCATCGACAGAAAATCCCAATCATTTCCGATTTGAGAACTTTGAAGAGTTTGATCGCTTGCACATTAGGCTTGAATGGCCTTGAAGTAAGTGATTCATCTTTTTTATAGATACGCAAACGAATAAATTGTTCCACCATCTGTTATGAGAATTATGGAATACATCTCTGCGTTTCGAAATGTGATTTTTAAATTTCCATAAACCAATCTAAATGAATTTCGCATTGACCATGATCTTGACTCCAGCCTCTGAGTGCTTACGCCCGTGTATTTTCTGTTCCGATCGGGGTGTCCCAGAGGGAACTTGGGTGGGATTTACGTTTTTGGGGTGGCTAATTCCGAATTTTTTGGTTTTCACCTCGAAAGATAGCTGTTCAATTGTGATTAACAATTTTATGTCACACCTACGTCAAAAGGGCGATTTATTGTTTTGTTTTGCGTGCAATAAGTTGTGTATTATGACCTTATGCATTAAGCAATCATGCGATGTGCTAAGTAACGCCTAGGGCGATAAACAGGCGCCACCAGCGCCACCCGCATTCAGTGACAATTTGATTTTTCGTTAGTGGGGGCATCGCCCCTCCTCAACTACCTCACCTGGGGGGTTCGCCCCCAGGACCCCCGTCTTGCATCCCTTCCCGCAATCCCTTCTCTGAATGTTGTCGCACTTTTGACTTTAGCCTCGACATAAAATAGCATGTGATATTCGGACGATAAGTGGCCGGTTATGAATCATCAATTGAATTACTAATTGAATCACTAATTGAATTATTTTCAATGAATTTTGTCAAAATTTAAATTAGTTGAAATAAAATAAATTCAGGAAAAATTAACTAGTGTATTTTATACCGTGACCCGTCGCCCTATTTCCACTTATATCTGACGGAGCATTCGATATATCGAAATTTTATAAAAGACATTGTTTGGGGAGGAACTGGAGTTAGGGTGGATGTGGGAGAAAATGTGGAGGGAAATGATGGAAAAAAATTAAGGTGACACGAATTATAAAATTCCCGTTTATTAGTGGGATCGAACCACTTCGTTAATGTCGGTTATACAATCTTTGGCGCAATTATAAATGTTGATAGTCTTTAAATTGGAACTAAGTTGAGTCATTGAAATTAATTGAACTGAAATAATTATCGTGGTGATGTACTGAATGAAAGTATTTAAATTGAATACGCGTGCGATCTACTTAATAGCTAGAGTTCAACTACGATGGTGCTCGAGGATAGTCGGTAGGACCGACCGTTTAACTGATAGCTACGTTTCAAACAGACATAATTTGTTCGAAATAGCTAGAGAAACATTTTATAATTGAACTTTTCTGTATCTGCAATAGTTTGCGAGATAGATGAGTTTTAACGATTAAATTGTTAATAACAATTGCACTGCTAATCTTTTGAGCTCGGAACCAAAAAAGTCGGAATGAGCGACACATCAAGGACATCACCACCGGAACAGAATATGACATACACATTTTCTAAAAATATCATATCTTCACGATTCAAGATATTCTCCAGTATTTTCAGACGAAATTAGAAGATCGTCACACCCAGAGAAACCTAAACCTGAATTACGTTTAAGGAATCGTCTTTTACGCTTTCTGAAAGGTATTTTACGATTAAAGTTGAAGCGTGAATGACACTCAAAATCGCCGTAAATTACGATTACATAAGCGTGGTTTACGACTTCGCAATCGTAAATTACGCTCACAATCGTCGTAAATTATGTTTATGTGATAGTAATTTACGACGATTATAAGCGTAATCTAGAACGATTACATAAATGTAATTTACGATTTCGCAATCGTAAATTACGCTCAAAAGTGTCGTAAATTACGATAATTTTATTTTATTGTTTATATTTAATAGAAGATCCAATAAAAAGTGTCGTAACAAAAGTGCTAAATTTCGAGTTTCATTGGCTACTCGAATCCAATCCAATGTCTGCTTCTATCCGTAATGCAAATGCCCAAACACTTGCGGGAACTCGAAAATTCAACAATAATCTACGATTTGTTGCTGATATAGTGACGTGATGTTGTAACAATGTCAACTTTATAAAAAGATGTTTTTTTCCAAAAATATAATTATTGGAAGTATCAGTCATCATTTAAAGGTGAATGAGATGATTGAAGACAAAGTTGTTTTTCCATTAAATGTATATGCTGATTTACTCGACCCGTGTGATACATTGAGACCTAAATCCGGCGTTCATTCGCT